CAAATATCCCCAGATTGGGGGTCAGAGTTTCCATGTAGGAAGTTTTGAGGATGCAAACATTCAGATTTTAGCAAGAGTCTGTATTACTGTGATTATGTAAATATTACGGCTAAGCCATGTAAGTGCTGTGGCTATTGTTCTTTTGTTCTTCCTCTGGAGGTAAATGCCATGGTGGGGGGATTGTATTGAGAATAACATTTTAAAATTTTAATGTAACTACAGGCAGGTGTGGTGGGATAGCCCCGTGATCCCAGCACTCTGGGAGGCCGAGACCAGAGGCTTTTGCAAGATCCTGTTTTAAAATTTAAAAAAAAGTGTTAGAGATGTAGCTCAGAGGTAAAGGTCCTGGGTTCAATTTCTAATACCATTAAACAAGCTAATAAAAAATTACAAAACTCACTGCAAGAGGCGCCATCTGAACCTTGAGGTGCAGAGGTTAGAGGCCTCGTGCACCATTCACCCCGTTTCCCTGAGCTGATCTCCTGTGTGACTGTAGTCCCACTGTAGCAAAGCTGGGGAACTGATGGCAGTACAACACACACACCAGGTTGTTCCATAGGCCACTGTCCCAGGCTCACCCTCAAGAGCATGCCACCCAGTTTTCTTTATTGCTTCTACATATAAATGATCCCAAGCTGTAACTACCAGATTTATTTATTGGTTTATGTTCATCTGCCATTCTAGAATGTAAGTGTGATAAGGTGTGAGTTGGCTTTCCATTACAGCGATGAAATATCTGAAAGAATGTACTTTAGAAGATTAATTTTGGCATAGATTTCATTCCATGATCACCTGGCCCTGTTGCTTTTGGGCCTGTGGTGGGGCAGAACCTCATGGTGGGAGCACATGGTGGAGGAAACTACTTGCCTGATGGCAGCAGGGAGGAGAAAAAGAGGAAGGGGGTTGTGGTCCCCAAATCCTTCAGGGCTCCCAGTGACCCAGCTCCCTTTCGTGTGACTCCACATTCCAGTAGCATCACAGGCTGCTGACCAAGCCCACAATGCATGGGCCTTGGGCAGACACTTCCAAACCGTAGAACAGTGACAGGGCTCGTCTGTTATTCCTATTGCTGAGTTTTGCGTGATGTAGAGGAAATAAAATTTTGTACTTCAATCAGCTGCAAAATACAGAGGGTGCTTGTTGTGCTGACTCCTATTTATGACTCTGTCTCTGGGAAGCCTTTGAAGTGTGGATATATGGCCCGTAGCACTTTACTGGAGTCACTTACTGAAACTTAGCCATTTTGAGTAAGCAGTCTGATGAGTTTTGGCAAATGTACACCCGTATAACCATCTCCCAAGATTTCCTTCTGTCTTGGATTCTTATTTTTAATTGTGGTGCGATGGATTTAGCATAACGTTGATCTCTTCAGCTCTCGAAGGGTGCAGCTGAGCGGCTTCAGGACATTCACACTGTTGTTACTCTCCCCTTTGGTCCATCCAGAGAAGTCTCTTCATCTTGCAAAGCTTAAATTCCATAGCCCAAACCCAGTAATTCCTCTTTCCTTCCCCCCTCAACCCCTGGCCACCATCATTCTACATTTTTGTCTCCAGGAATCTGACTTTGGAATTCTTTTTTTAAAGTAAAAGTTTAGGGGGCTGGGGGTTTAGCTCAGCGGCATAAGCGCCTGCCTTGAAAGCAGGCAGTCGTGAGTTCGATCCCCGGTACCAATAAAAAGGAAAAAGACCAAAAAAAAAAAAACAAAAAAAAAACAAAAAAAAGTAAAAGTTTACCATCTTGCCCATTTTAAGTATACAGTCCAGGGGTGTTAGGTAGTATCTTCTCTGTAAGGTAATTTTAGGTTTAGCTCTGAATAGGAAAAACTCCAGATAATAGAGTGTAAACAAAGTGATCTGTGGCTCATGTTGTGGCAGCTTTGTGGTCATGAGGACCCCGGTTTCTGTCTTGTGTGTTGTCATTTGTAACACTTAGCTCGTCATCTTGTAGCCCAGGATGGCTGCTGTAGCTCTAGCCATCAATGCTTCATTCCAGCTGGCGTGAAAACAAGATGAAGAGAAAGGCACTTTTTGTCTTACAGAGTCCTTCACTGAACTTACGTGTATCACTTTGTGCTTGATGCCCTTGAGCAGAACTTAGCCATAGAGACACCTCCTGTTTCAGGGGGACTGAGGGATGCAGACTTCCTTCTGGGCCACAGATTCAAATTCTAATTTGTGTGTCCTCTGCTGAGAAAGAGGAGGAGGAGCCACAATGTGGAACACCCAATGGTGTCTGCCGTGCTTTTCCTGCTGCAAAGCCCTGGTCACTGTACTAAATCAATTTGTTGCTTCTTACTCTACTGTGGACTCCTTCAGCCAAGGGCTATTAGGTCTTGTGCCTCTTAGCATGGAGTATGCATTTAGGTACTTAATATTTGTTGTACAAATGAATGATTCCAGGCCAACCCAGCTGTTTTAAGGATTACTGGAGGGCCCAGGCATGGTGGCGCACACCTGTAATCTCAGCTACTCAGGAGGCTGAGGCAAAAGGATTGTGTATTCAAGACCAGTTGGGCAATTTAATGAGACCCGGTGTCAAAATAACTTACAAAAGAGTCGGAGTATAGCTGGATGAGTGTGCTTGCCTAACCCTCGTGAAGCCTGGAGTTTGATCCCCAGCAACACACACATACGTGTACTCATGCACGTGTGCACACTAATTATCAAAGGGGAGCCTGAAGAACATAATGCCTAGGGTCAGCCAGGGTCATCCGGCCCAGGTTCCCATAGGATTTAGGAAACTGCTCACTGCAGAGCTTTTGCCTCACCATACCTACTGCCACATACTCCCTGGGCGCTCCAGCTGTCACAGCCCCAGGACTCTGTGCTTTGGTGCTACCTGCCTCCATACACCATGTGGACATCCACATCCCCTCCTGCCCCCAGTCTTCCCTTTGCCACCTGTGAGTCTAGACTTGTGGGTCGGCACCATGAGGGTGGGGGCACTGCTGGACTGACAGTATCCTGAGCCCGAGCCCCGGGGAGGAAGCTGCCCACCTCAGTCCTGAAGCCCTCCCGGACTGAGCAAAGGAATGCCGGTGACCCTCACGCCTTGCCAGGACTCAGAGGGAATCCAGCTCCACTGTTCTGTAGCCAACAGATTAGAAAACGGTTGCTCTCCATGTGGGCTTTGCTTCTCCATGTGGGCTTTAATGTGGACCCATGTGAACACAGGAGATGGAGCATCCATATCACGGGTCCTCAGGACCATGAGGATTCCTTGATTGGCCACTGAATGTCCCCGTGTATCCACATGGAGTTTCCCCTTGTCCTTCCCAAGGGAGGCCTTAGGTGTCAGAGAGGCCCTACCATGTTGGAGAGCGGCTTATCGCTGTACTTTAGCGAGAATTCCAAGCCTTGGGGTAGGGATTAGGGGCTAGAGGTTCCGATGGAGAGAAGGGAGGTGGATGGTTGTGTATGTGTGTGTGTGTGTGTGTGTGTGTGTGGCATGTACACTGGGCAGGCCCCTGTCCTTTATAAATGACATGTCACCACAGATGTCCCACAGCCTACTCCACACCTGTGACCTGAGCAGCCATGGACCATGGCTGTTGTGGCCTGCTGTGAAAGCCTGTGGCACCCACTGTCCGTTGCAGTGGTCATCAGCTTATGTTATGTGGCCTGATGGCCTGATCCTCTCTCTATTCCTGCCTTCTACAGTCTGTGGACCTCTGCTGGCCTCTGTGCTATTCAGGCTAGCAGGACTCCCCAGGGAGATCAGTATCATCTCCCCTGAGCAGGACAGGGCACCCCATTTCCCCAGCACCTGTCTGAGAGCAGAGTCCAAATAGGTATCATCATCAGGCACCAGGCTCTCAGTTGAGATTTCCCACCTGGTCTCCCCCTTCCTACACTGAAGGTGGCGCTGGCCGCCTGTTGGAACCACCTCCCCCAACTGAGGCTTTTCTCTTCCTGCCTTGGTGTGGCCCTTGCAGCCCCAAGAAAGTGCTGAGCAAGGAGCCAGGTCTGGAGGGTGTCTCTGCCCGTTGGGGAGCCCTGAGCTGGCTGCATCATGCTGGATGCCATCAGCCCGCTCTGTGACAGGCAGCTTCTCCTCCTGGTGGGCTTCTCCTGCCCTCTTTGGACCTGCTTGCTACCGGGGCCTGTGTAAGACTGGGGTGTCACCAGGAAGTGGTAGGGAGAGAGGGAGCATTAAATTAGACCTGGGCCTTTAAGCAAAATGTTCAGAAAGAACCATATATGTAGTGCTAAATACCAAATGAGTCAGCCTCCTTGCCCACATTCTCTTGCAAAGCAGGGTGAGCTGGGGAGCGGCTGCCTCACTAACTCAGCCACTGGAACCATGATCACCCATGGCCACTGTGTAGCCCGGTCCCAGGATGAGCCCTGGTGCCTGTTCTCATTTAGGGAGTAGAGTGGTTGTGTGCGTGTGTGTGTGTGTGTGTGTGTGTGTGTGTGTGTGCGCGCACATGGCATTGTTCCCTCCCTGCTCCTAAGGGGCCAAGATTCCCCTCCAGTCCTTTCTGTAGCCACTGCTTAGATTTAAGTACAGGCATGTGCCAGGCCACCTTGATGACATGGACACCACCCACTCCACCCTCTCCTGTGCCCCAGTGCCCTCTGACTAGTACATGGCACTTGACACAGCCTTTCTGAGGAACAACCAGAGCTGGGAAGAGGCAGTGGACTGCACAGCGACGCTGGTTCTTGCACATGAGCCTGTCCCTCCTGGAGCCCGGGCCCGGGGCTCTGCCCACACCCCGACAGGTAAGTCTGCTGTGGCAGCCAGGCGAGGTAGCAGAGAGGGGGCTTGTGTTTATTTGGGTGAATTGTCATGTTTGAGTCATTCTGAAAGGAAGCCCAGCAAGCAGTGGGATGTCCCTGGGGTTCGGGCTGCAAAGTAGGAGGAAGAAGGTGGGGGGTGGAGGCTGGGGTACCCAGGATCTGGCGGGTCTCCTGCACACAGAGACTCCCAGCCAGGGGGAACGGGCAGACGGGGGCGCTGTGGAGAAGCGTAGCAGTGATGGACACGAGGACACTCCAGAGGCTTAGTTTTATTGTGCAGTTTTCTTTTTCCTCAATGAGACACCAGTAGCTGTGGTGGCACTACACAGTCACAGGGCAGGCGGAGCCGCTGGGGGTGGGGGCTGGGTATCGGGAACCACCATCTTCCCAGGAGTGTGCTGCCCTGGGTCCGCTCCAGGACCTGCCTCAGGCCCCCTACCCGGGAGGGGAAGGCCTGCAAGGCGGGGGCTGCCTGAGGGCTCAGGGCCCAGCCAGCAGGGCTGACAGTGAGGAAGAGCCTCCCTTGGAAACTTGATCCAAGCTCAGTAGGGCTCTGGGTGCCCCCTTGACTTTCAGCCTGTGGGACAAAGCTCTTGGGAGCTTGGGACAGCTGGAGGGGGCATTGTTTTCCTGTCACCCTCTCAGCTGGTGGTGCAGCAGTGAGTGACAGAAGGCTTGCATTTTAGCTTCCTCAGGTGGGGAGAGCAGAGGGACCCTCACCTACCCCTCCCCCAACCTTGGGTTAATGCCGCAGCTGCCCACGGAATCTGCGTCTTGAGTGGGCAGCGCCCTGGCACAAGGCCTTATGGGACTCCTATGGTTCCCAGAGGGAGTTTCTCTGCTGCTCCTGAGAGTGCTCGTGGAGATGCTCAGTTCTCACCCTCATGGAGCCCTCACACCTGGATCTGGAGGTGCCAGCCCTGACTTCTGGGAAGGTCTCAGCACACAGCACATCTGAGCTAGGCCAGACATACCCTCTGCCTCCTCACCTAGACCTCTGGTCCTGCCATCATTTCCCAAGGACTGGTACCCCCATGCCACTCCCCATTACGTACCCTCACTCTCCATCAGGTCCCCAATCCTGGCTTCCCTTGTCACACACTCCCAAAGAAAAGGAAGGATAACCTCTGAAAATAGAAGCAGCTCTGGAACAGAGTACAAAAAGACAGCCAGTGGTGTGCAGAGAGGGAGTGGGTAGATGATTGCATGCAGCACTGGGGTTCTTTATAGGGAGTAGGGTCTCTCTTTCTCCCCAGTATGTGTGAGGGGTTGGGGAGAGGGGTGAGACAACTCAGAAGCAGGATCTCTGCACTGGGCCTTGAGGCTTCCTGTATCCTCCATGGGCCCATCCAATCACAGGGAAACGAAATCTGTGGCTTGGAGGAGGGAGAGAGAGAGCAGGAGCAGCAGCAGCCACGAGGTATTCTGCGCCAGCAGGCTGATGCCTTCACACTTGACCAGTTTGTCTGTGGAGAAAGAACAGGGTGAGGGGAGGCCGGCACAGGCCCAAAGCATGGATATATTCTGTTCGGGCCAACCTGGTCTAACAGAACCAAGTGTATTTCCCATCACATATATATCTTATGCAAATCTTACTAAATATCATCACAAGAAAACTGGGTGGAGGAGGCAGCGCCATCCTGGTTTGACAGGTGTGAAGTGGATTAGAGAGGCCAAGGCCAAAGTCCTGGAGGAGGCAGCTAGCACACCGATGTGCCTCTTGACCAGGCCTCACACTGAGAGCAGTGGTTCCCTAGGGGACGAGGTAGCAGCTGGGAGAGAGTGAGGGAGTCATGGGGCCCTTCTCCTCTCTGGCCTGCTCAAGGGAATTGTCTGCTGTCCTAGCCAGCTCAGAGGTTCCCCGCCTGGCCCTCTCAGTCCATCTGACCCCACTGGGGGTTTGCCTCACCTCTGAGCACAGAGACGTTCCTATAGTTGGGTGAGGATGGCTGGCCAGAGATGTGCAGCTCACATGTGTAGGTCCCTTCGTCCTTGGTGGTGAAGTTGGCTAAGTAGAGGACCTTGATGTTGTAATTGCTGGTCAGGTTGGTCCGGGAGCGGTAGGCATGCTCAGGCACCCCCACGGTGCCAAAGAGCACGTGCTTCTTTTTCTCACGAGTCAGGCTGAACTCGTACTGGATGGGCAAAGTGGTGGTGTTTTCATGGCGGCAGTCCAGACGGAGGTTCTGGTTCACCAAGCAGGCCGTGAGGCTGGTCACCTTCTGCCCTCGGGATACCTGTAAGACTGGCACCAGCAGTGCCCGTTCCAGTTGGTGGAGAGATGATAATGAGGGGAGTCCAACCCACATCCCTAGACAGTAGACATGACCAGGGCCTGTTCTCTGAGTGCCTCTTTCCACCCCAGAGATCCTGGAAGCAGAACCCCACTCCACTCCAAGATCCCGACCTCCCTCCCTAGTCTCCTTGACCTTGACCTCCAGGTCCCATTGCAAGTTGCAATGGCAAGTGATCTTGGGGAGTTCTACACCCCCACTTGGAGATTCCCATTCACTAGCATGGAACAGGGCTTAGTGAACTATTTCTACAGCCTACTCCAGCAGTCAGGGCTCAGTGAATTATTTCCAAAGGCCACCCCAGGAATGAGTAGCCAGCTGCTTTTGGGGAGGCAAACGAGCCCTCTCTCCCCCAGCCAACTGCACTTTCTGAGGCTTTGAGGAAGAAGCAAGCTTCTCTGAAGAGAGGGAAGCCAGGGTCCCTGGAACGTCAGCCCTGCCCCTTGCCAAGTACCTGCCAGCAGGAGGGCGAGGCCGATGGCTGGGTTCATGATGCCAAGAGCTCTCTCCTGGACCTGGGGTAGGAACAGAGGGAGATTAGCCAGGAGAAGGGACCTGTGTGCCCACACTTGCTGCCGAGCTTGGGACTCCCGGGGGAAGACAAGATGGTAGGCATCTAAGCCACTCTCCCCACCCCCCACGTCCTCTCTCCATCTCTGTTTGAAGGTGACACTGATTCTGGCTCTTCTTTAGGGAAAACAGGGGAAGAGGAGGGAGAATGTGCTGGAATGGTGGGGTGTTGGTGGCATGGAACACTTCCTAGCTGGCTGACTATAAGGGATTTATTTTCACCACTCCTTTTCCCCAGGCAAGGGCTTCCTTGTCACTTGTTTTTGAAAGTTTAGTTTGACAAAATACTATGCTGACCGTAATTAAGAATACAGTTGGGGAGTGCTGGGCTGGCTCACCCTGCTGTGCATTTAGGGACTTTCTATTTCTTCTATTTCCAATCCCTAGATCAGTCCCTGGCATATGGATTTACTGCATTTACTGATTTAATGTATTTACTGAAGCAATGAAGGAGGCTCACTCAACCTTAGGCACCCAGGGGGCTGTGGGGATTAAGAAAACGACAAACATCTGGCACCAGACTGCTCCACAACGCACACACCCTGCAGTGTCACCGGCTCTTGCAAGAGCGCGGGCGCGCGCGCGCGTGTGTGTGTGTGTGTGTGTGTGTGTGTGTGCCCGCGCGCGCGCGCGCGCTGTTAAGGGGTTCCAGCCTGGCCTGCAATGGGCCCACAAAGTGTTCCCAGATGTGTGTGACGGAAATGACAGTGCTCGCTGATTGCAAAAGGGCCAAGATGCTTTTTGGAGATTCTTGAACTTGTGGTTTCCAGTCTGGCTCCAACGGCCTCCCTGCCTATGCTCCTCGCCTAGTCTTTCCCACTGAAAAACATTTTCCCCCTCAGTCTTAAGCAGGCCAACATTTCGGCGCCACGGAGCAGCTGGCCTGGAGCAGCCACAGGAGGGGCCCGGGTCCTGGCTGAGCTGCGCGCGCCTGGGTGCCTAGAGCATGCTCCTCCAGAGTCCGGGATCGCTGGCGCTCTTCCTGCGGCCCTTGAGGCTACAGGGAATGTCCCCTCGGCCCGGGCTGGAGCTGCAGCCCGGAGCCAGACCTCACGTTCTGCAGCGGAGGACAGGGGGCTGGCGTCCGGCTTTGAGTAGAGGATGGTATGTAGGTGACCAAGTCGGGGTGAGGCCTGCGATCTAGGGGGAGGGGGGCCGGCGGGTAGAACAAGAAAGGGAAGAAGCGGGGCGGAGGCCGGAGACGGATGTGGAGCCAAAGCAGGGGTGGAGGGTTCGGGAGGCGCGGTTGGTCTATTTCCTCTGCCAGGTGTCCCCGCAGCCAGAGCCGCAGCAGCTGGCGTGGTCTCGCTCCCTAGCCACCCCGCCCTGGCCAGCCCCACCCTAAATACTTCCCTATTCCAATCCTCTTTCTTTCCCGGTTGAGGGCCCCCTTCCCCCTCTTCCTTCCCAGCTCTCCCATCCCCCGTCCGCCCGCCTTCCACCCAGTCCCCGCCCGCGGCACTGCGGTTTCCCTACCTTGGTGCCCCGCACCCAGCCTGCGGCGAGGTCACCGAGCTGAGGTCCCCTCCTGCAGGCCACCCTCCATCTTCTCGCCTATTTCCCCCCGCTCCCCACCCTTGAGAGCTGGGGATGGGATCCTCCGGGAGGAGAGCTGGACTCAGGGCCGCCCTTGGTGTCCTCCCTCCAGGTTCTCCCCCGCGCTGCAGCCTCCGAGTGGGCGGAATCCTGCAAGCGGCTTCCAGCAAAGGCCAGGTGCGGCCCGGCCCCTGCCTCACAGAGCATCGCGCTCCCGCCGAGGCCTGGCATGGAGGCTGGCATGGAGGACCCTTCCCCACTCCTGCCGTCTCCTCCTCGCGGTGCCCCTGGAGCTTTCCCGAAGCCGCCTGCGACCCTGTCCCACCTGGCTCCGGCTCTCACCTGGACCCAGGCCTCCGCCGCTGCAGCCTCCCGGGGACGCGATGCCACCTCGATGCCACCTCCGATTGCTGCACCCTGCACCGAGCCCGCAGTTTTCACCGGGGGTGGGGGAGAGGAGGGTGGGGAGGACCCGGGGTTCAGCCAATCAGAAGCTAGAGGAAGAGGATGGGGGTGGCCAGGGGCCGGGGAGAAGGTGGCAGTGGTGCCCGGGTATGGGAGGTGGCCCACTCCTGAAGGAGGGGGACCTTAACTCTGTGGCTGGCTGGCCTGGCGAGGGGAGGCAGGGTTTGGGACCCCAGGATCGGGGTGGGGCAGCCCAAAGAGTGTCAGCCGCCGCCCCGAGCCCCCGCAGCTCTCCTTTTAAGGGTGTAACCCTCTCTTCTCCTCCAGTCTTCGGGAGTCTCTGGGAAAACCGGCGCGTAAGGAGTGCAGGAGCCCGGTTTGCCACGCTTCTGAGTTACCGCCTCCTGAGTCTCCAGTGAGCGGCTTTGGGGTGGGCCTTTCTCCAAAGGAGGCCGGTAAGATGCATCCCACGGCGGAGCAGCCCTTTGGGAGCAACGCAGCGATGTGCCCACCCGGTCCTTCCCTGGTGCCCGGCCTTGCCGCACCCCTTTGTGTGCTCCAGAGCACCTCACCCTTCAGGGGAGCCTGCAGGTGCTTTCTGCTGCCCGTCTCCTCCGGGCTCTGGGCTGACGCCAGGTTCTTCTCACTTTCTGAATTGTCTGCTTGGGCTTCAGAAGACAGGAGTGTTGCCTTCCACATGCACGGTCACATTACCCCTTCAAGCCATCCCACCCGGCTCCCTGGCTGTAAGTGACAGGGCTGCAAGGTGCTGGCCTTGGAGCCTGCGCTTCCAGTGCTGGAGCTGCTGCCTGCAGCAGGGAGACTGACCGAGCTCTCAGAAAGGGGTGTGGCCCACCAAGTCTGGAAAGGAATAGGCTGAGACCCAGATACTGATCCCTGGAGAACCCCGTCTACCTCACAAAGTTAATGTCACCAAAGTGTCTCTCTCTCTTTTTTAATAGCCAGTGCTGATGACTTGTCCCTGAAACTCAGAGGTGCAGAGATTTTTTTTTTAAACCAAGGTTTATTTGATTGATTTGAGCCTCCTGGCTTCCTTGTGAATCCTGATCACAACATCTGCAGGCTGGCCCTGCCTCCCAGCCATCTCCTGCCTGGTCTCAGGCTCCTATTTCTTCACAGAAGCCCTGGCACCTCCACTGTGGTTTCCAATCCTGTAATGGCACTGTTGGAAGCCACTTCTGGGCTTCAAGTGGGAGTTTCACTTCCCTCAGTGTCTTGGGCGGGGCGCTCTGTGGTCCCCCCAGTACGTTGAGCAATGGAATGCTCTAACGGAGTAACCTGAGGATGGTCCCGGTCCTAAGGCTGATTCACTTCGGGAAGGCAGCGAAGCTCCTAGGACACATTTATGAAAAAGTGCAGCTACCCCAGCTCATCTAGGACCTGCTTACTCTGGCACTGAGTCTGCACCCCTTGCAGGCTTCCCAGGGCCTGTGGGCTAACGAGACTGTCCCTCCTCACAGGTTGCCGCTCCCTGATCAAAGGATGATATTAAGGCCCTGGAGGTCTTGGTCCCTGCCTGCTGACCTCCACCACCCCATCTTTCCCATTCATCTCCCTGCTGCAGTCTAGACGTGCTGCCTTCGTTTCTGTCCCTCCACAGGCCCAAACAGCAGATAAATAGAGTGCAGGTAGAGACGTGTTCCTGTTTAACAGCTTTTGATTCCAGGCTGGATTCTCTTCCTATCAGAATATAATTGGTTAACTGGGGCTTAACCCTTCTTTCTCTCTGTCTCTTACACACACACACACACACACACACACACACACACACAGAGCTAGGGGATGGAGATGGTTCTTTTTGCAGGGCAGGACATACCCAGAGGTCCCTTAACTGCAGATGATGTCAGGGCTGTGACTGGCTGAGGCCCTGGATGCTCTGTGGCCCGTCTCCTTGTGTTGCTGGGTGGAGGGCCCAGCTATGCTACTTTGATAAGATGAGGAGGACTTGGCCTACTGGGTGGAGGGCCCAGCTGTGCTACTTTGATGAGGAGGACCTGGCCTACTTTCGGGGCCCCAGGCACTCTTGTCTTCAGGAAGGTGAAGGGAGCTTTTTCTCTCAGGTGCGTGCAGTTCTGTGTCTGTTAGAGCACGGTCCCCAGTTGGATGGAATTGAAGGCTCAAGAATAAGGCCATCTAGGGTCTGGGTAGGGCTTCAGTGTGGCAAAACGGAGGAGATCTTAAAACTCTCATTCATTAGTGGACAGGGTTGGAGTGCTGGAAGCAGGAGGGAATTCAGCCAAGGTAGGGTGTCCTGCAGATGGTGGCTGCCCCCTTGGTCCCTTAGATGTCTATGCTCCTGCTGCCCCTGACAGAGGCAGCTCAGAGGAATTCCTTTAAAAATGCTCATTTCCTTATACTGACCAAGGGACTCCCACCATTTACTCTCCATGTCACTGGTTTCTCTCAATGTCCCTGGAGAATTGCAGAACCTCCCTATCATTTTATAGTGGGGACCTGCAGCCCTCAAAGGGAAAGACTTTGTGTAAGGTCAGACAGATGCTTTGCTCAGCTTGGCCTGTGATCTTATCTCCTGACTCCTCACCCCTTGCCCTTTGGTGGCCAGCATGGGTTCTCGAACCTTGGCTAAACTGATTTCGCTGGTCCCACCCTGTGAGCACCGAGTCAGACAGTGGGCAGTCTCTACCCTCAAGGCTTGTTCCCTGGGGGAGGCCCAGACAGCAGATAAATAGAGTGCAGGTAGAGGTGTACAGGCACTGTGAGAGTCTACCGAGGGGCACAGGGTGGCCTAGTCTGGGAGGAGGCTGGGTCTTCAGAGATGAGTGTGACTGCCCATGGATGGCAGATATCACAGTAGTGGTCCCCGGTGAATCTTGCCTCCTGGTACCTGCATGTGATCCCCTTCCATGCTGAGTCTGGGTGTGGCCACGTGCCTTGTTTTGGCCAATAGGCTGTCAGCAGATGTGACCACCACTAAGACTCATCTTCCTGGGAGACAAGTTCTGTAAGAGGAAGCCTGAGCTAGTCGAGTGGACTGAGGTGATATGGTCACTCTTTGTAGTCGACCAGCTCCAGTTGAATGAAAGCATGTGTGGCCCCAATGCCATATTAAACACAAAGGAGACACCCCAGATAAACCTGTGTTGGTTCTAAAACCTCTGGAAGTCTGTCTGTTTCTTCTTGAATCTCTTCCACTACACTATGAATGACTGTGCAGGTCTTAGAAAGCCATAGAGCATCTACCTCACTCTCTGGACACTTTCTTCGGGGGCCAGTGTGAAACGAGTTTGACCACCCTGTGGCCACCATGCACGGCTCCAAGCTGTTTCAATTGAGGGAAGTGGCAGCTGGAGCAAGGTTAGGTTAGGTCATGGTGGAACAGGTGGCAAAACCATCGCTGTGGTACTTAGATGATAGAAGATGTGCCTGCTAGAGTTGGCTGTGCTTCAGTCAGTCCCAGCCCTGACCTAAGTTCCTGGGCTGGAAGCTTGGTTCCCGGGGCAGTGGTACTGGGACTTTAAAAGGCGGGGCTGGTGGAAGGTAATTAGATCCCGGGGCTCCACCCTCATGAATGGATTCATGCTGAGTTGAGGAGTGGCTCAGGTTTCTGGGAGGGCTACAGCTCTGTCTCTAGTGTCCTCTCTTACCCTGCGGACTTTCTTTCATGTGCTGCCTCTGCTATGTGATGCTATGTGATCTGCCACATTATGGTGCAGCCAGAAGGCTCTTGCCAGATGCTGACCAGATACAGCGCCAAACTTGGACTTTCAGCTTCCAGCACTGTGAGCTAAAGAAAGCTCTTTTTTTCTCCTCTCCTCTCCTCTCCTCTCCTCTCCTCTCCGCTCCTCTCCTCTCCTCTCCGTGTTCTCCTCTCCTCTGTTCTCTCTTCTCTCTCTCTCTCTCCCTTTTCTTTTTGACAGTCTTCCCATGTAGGCCAGGCTGACCTTGAACTCACAATCCTCCTGCCTCAGTCTCCCAAGTGCTGGAATTACAGGCCTGCATGCCAGCCTAAAAAACTTCTTTTTGTTATAAGTTATCCAACCTCAGGTACTCTGTTATAGTAACTGTTATGGTTTGTATTTAGATCTCCCCCCAAACCTCTTGCACTCATGAGTGGGGCTTTTAGGAGCTGGCTGGATCTAGCACGTGCGATTCTGGGATTAAGGGTACTAAATTAGTCCTAATGATTGGGATTAGCATAGTTCTGGGTGTGAGTAATGAAAGCTCCCCCGCCTGGCACCAATCAGTAGACTTGTAACATGGGCAGAATATAAAAAGAGAGAGGAAATGCAGGTTTGCTGTGGCTTTCCTGCCTCCTGCCTGCCATGCCATGGGCTGTTTCTTCTCTGTGATACCCTGTGCCGTGTCACCCTGTTTCGGAGTCAGTCAACTATGGACTGAAACCTCTAAATAAACTGTGAGCTGAGCAAACCTTTCCTCCTTTAACTTGTGGGTGTCGTATAAATTGTCTCAGCGATGAGAAAAGTAGCTAAGTAACATGAAATGGAATGAGGTAGCCCCTGGTGAGTCTGTGGACTTGGTTAAGAAGATCTAGATGCTGGAAGTGTTATTGACTTGCTGCTGAATGAACATCCAGCCTGCTCGACTGAGTATTGTAAGAGAGAGATGAGATAAATAGGACTTGTCCAATTGATTGAGTTGGAAGAGAAAACTAATCCTCATTTCCATTCTGTCCAGCAGGCAACAGATCTCAAAATAAGAGCTGGCCTAGAGAAAAAGATTAAGTCAGGGTATGGCTGTAGAACACATGATAAGATCCCAAGAAGACATACGTGGCTTTTAGTAGACCTTAGCTAAAGGAAAGGGATTGTGGGAATGTTAAGGAGATTGTGCTACAGCTGAAGTAGCATCTTCTCAAAATTAATCATGTATTTGGTGCAGAGTGGACTCTCGTAACATTTACAGGGAACCCATGAAGTTTTAGAGGTCAATCATTCGGCAAAAGCTCTAGCTCTTTCGACAAAAAGAGGGTGAAATAGCTCAAAATGAAA